GCACCCGGCCTTGCCCACATTTTTTTTCCAGGGGATTTCTGAGCAAGCACATTGTCATGTACTGAGGAAGCAAAACTGCTCCTTCTAGTAAGTATAGGTAGGGAAAAATAAAGTTTCCTAGACCCAGGGATGAACTACTTATATAGGTCCCAAATAACAGAATTATGGACTGAGCTAACAGAAAACTCAGAGACCATCTAGTTAAGCTGAGCCATTTTACAGAGAAAACTGAGGCATAGAAAAGTTAAATGATTTGTTTAATAGCACATACTATTAAAGATGTGTTGATTACTTAATGATGACAAAAACAGATGTACTAAGTAGAGCTGACTAATGTGCCATGCACTAAGTGTGGTTTTGTGGTTGTTTTTGAGATGGCATCTTGCTATGTTGCCCAAGCTAGACTTGAACTTAATGGCCTGAAGCAATCCTCCTGCCTCAGCCTCCCAAGTAGCTTAGATTATAGGCATGTGTCATCACGCCGAGCTTATTCTAAGTTTTTTTTTTTTTTTTTTTTTGAGACAAGGTTTCATTCCCATCACCCAGGCTGGAGTGCAATGGCGTGATCTCCACTCACTACAACCTCCGTCTCCTAGGATCAAGCGATCCTTTTGCCTCAGCCTCCCAAGTAGCAGGACTACAGGTGTGCACCACCACACCTGGATAATTTTTGTATTTTGAGTGGAGACACGGTTTCACCATGTTGGCCAGGCTGGTCTCGAACTCCTGATCTCAATGATGCGCTTGCCTTGGCCTCTCTAAGTGCTGGGATTACAGGCGTGAGCCACCACGCCTGGCCTGTTTTGTTTTTTAGAGCAGGGTCTCACTCTGTTGCCCAGGCAGGACTGTAGTAGCACAATCATAACTCAGTGCAGCCTCAAACTACTGGACTCAAGGGATCCTCCTGTCTCAGCCTCCCAAGTAGCTTGGTCTACAGGCATGTGCCACTACACCTGGCTAAAATTCTAAGTGTTTTCAAAGGATTTCCTTGAATCCTCACAATAACCACATGAAAAGGATATTACTGTTTATTGTCTCCACTTTACATATAAGGCCCATGTACTATAGCCAGTAAGTAGTAAGCTTGTGGGATCTGAAGCCAGTTTGCATCAGTTAGAACTCCTCTGCCACTATGGATCTGAAGCAGTAAAAGAGCAAAAGGGAAGGGAATGCCACAATGGGAGCAGGGAAGGGATAAGTTCCATGTAGACCTGGAATCATATCCAGGACATCCTACTTTTAGTTTACCTAATTGGTGCTTCCTGAATTGCTACCTCTTCGTAAACCTCAGTTTTTGTGAAGTTAAAACCATTGAACCATTCAAAACATTTTCTATAAGAATGCAGGGATAATGCAGGACATGCTGAATATATTTTCATTTCCTTGTTGGGAACTTGGGGTTCCTGAGGACACAGTGTAATGTAAATTATAACACAGTATTTGATGGAACCTCCTCTCAGGGATAAGTGTAGACTTTTGTAGACTCAGAACCAGTTGATCAAAATCAAAATCATTATCTCTTACAGAGAATTATTTTCAAGTGTGTCAAAAGTCTCTATCTTCATCTTTTGTGTTCAACATTTTAATGAATTACTTAAAGATGTACAAAGGGTTTATATATACAGTATCCATCAAAACAGGTAAAAAAAAATGTATGAAATTGAACGATGGCTAACGCATTACAAAATAAGGTGATGTAACTAATGAACCATAAAAAAAACCCCAAAACTAAACAGATATATACTTCCCTTCAAAAGTATTATCTGGTTATATATTCAACTTCTAAAAATATTTTTGAGATCCCTTTTTTGAAGCTGTTCTCAAAGTCTTTATCTTTTTGAATATCCCCCAATGATGAAAAAAATTTCCCTTATCTTCTTAAACATCTAAAAAAATGAAGTGTTAATATAGAAGAATAAATGTACAAAAATGACCAGCCAATTCTGAAAGAGAAAGACAGATGGAGGGACCTGTACTGTTAGTTATCAAACAGTGTAGTGTTCACGTGGGAGATAAATACACTAATGGGAGAGAACAGTGGCCAGTCTTTATACTAAATTCCAACATATATGTATATGTATGCCTGGCACATATGCTTGTGTATGAGTATATGTATATTCATGTTTGGAAATTTCACATATAATAAAGTTGGCCTTTCAAATCAGTGGGAAAGGATGAACTATTAATAAATTGGGACAATTAGCTTTTTAGGAAAAAAGTTACATCTCTATACTCAAATCATTCACAAAAGTAATTTTAGGATGTATTGAAGGAGTAAATATAAAAAAACCATAAAAGTATCATGAGAAGACAGGAGAATATGTTTATGAATAAGAGGTAAAGAAGCTGTTTTAAACAAGTTACAAAAAACAAAAACCGAAAAAGGAACAGGCTGACATACAGCTGACCCTCAAACAACACAGGTTTGAATGGTGCAGGTCCACTTACATTACTTAAATACAGATTTAAAAAATTTTTATAACAGCCCACCAGATCGTATACACGTAGATTTTTTCAAAAGTTATACCGGTGTGCCTGCCTCTCCTGCCTTCCCTTCCATCTCCTCTCCCTCTTCTGCCTCTGCCACCCCTGAGACAGCAAAACCAACCCCTTCAATTCCTCCTCCTCCTCCTCAGCCTACTCAACGTGAAGATAACAAGGATGATCTACTTCCACTTAATACTGAATGTTTTCTTTACCTGATGATTTTCTTAATAACATTTCCTTTTCTCTAGCTTACTTTATGTAGGATACAGTATATAAGGCATACATAAGACATGTATTCATCTACTATTTAGGTTATCCATAAAGCTTCTGGTCAACAGTAGGCTATTAAGTTTTGGAGGAGTCAAAACTTGTATGTAGATTTTTGACTGCTAGTGAGGGCTGCACCCCAACCCCCACATTGTTTGAGGGTCAGCTGTATTGATTACACCAAAATTTAAATTTTCTGTACTATAATATGAGAAATAATTTTCTTAATATTAATATAAATGGCCAATTAACATACAAAAAGATGCTTAATTCCACTAGTAGCCTTAGAAATACAAAATAAAACAATGAGTTATTTATATTTCACCTATCAGATTGCTAACAATTTAAGGATCTTCTAATACTAGGATTGAAGAGAGTTATCTATATTTACTAATACTATAGAGTGAAAGGCAGGATGTTATGTAGTATAACATTTATTTTAAAATGTCCTCCTTGGCTGGGTATGGTGACACCTGTAATCCCAGCACTTAGGGAGGCCAAGGTGGGCGGATCACAAGGTCAGGAGTTACAGAGCAGCCTGACCAACATGGTAAAACCCCATCCCTACTAAAAATACAAAAATTAGCTGGGCATGGTGGGGCACGTCTATAATCCCAGCTACTCAGGAGGCTGAGGCAAAAGAACTGCTTGAACCTGGGAGGCAGAGGCTGCAGTGAGCTGAGATCACGCCACTGCATTCTAGCCTGGTGACAGAGTGAGATTCCGTCTAAAAAAAAAATGTCAACCTTTGGCTGGGCGCAGTGGCTCACACCTGCAATCCTTGCATTGTGGGAAGCCAATTTGGTGGGTCACTTGAAGTCAGGAGTTAGAGAATATGGTGAAATCCCATATCTACTAAAAATACAAAAATTAGCTGGGTAAGATGGCACGTGCCTGTAATCCCAGCTACTCGGGAGGCTGAGGCATGAGAATTGCTTGAACCCAGGAGGTGGAGGTTGCAGTGAGCTGAGAGTATGCCACTGCATTCCAGCCTGGGCAACAGAGCGAGACTCTGTCTCAAACAAACAAAAAAGTCCTCGCCTCAAAAAAACCCCAATAATATATATTCTATAGA